TCATAGCTCTTTCATGCAAAAAAAAACGCTGCTCAGTTGGCCTTTTGTTGACTCCTGAGAGGTTGCATCTAGGGAATTCGCCAAACAGGTCCTCTTGATGCTTCAATCAACCCCCACATCAACGTCAACAGGCATCCTCCAGGTCCCATGGAAGCTTCCGCTCGCCTTGAACTTCTTTCTCATCTCAGTGATCTCCTCCAGGGACTCCACCAAGTTCTTGGAATAGAGGTTCTTGTCTGTGCGGACAGCCTGTCCAGGGCTTCGAGGGTCCGAGGCTCGTGGTTCAGGTTTAATTGCGCAGCAGTTTGAGGACTGATTTTGGAGAGTAGAATTATAGATTTCAATTGCAAAGTTCAGGATTTGGGAGACCCTACCTCAAAGTATATGAGGCTCATCTAAGGTTGCCCCCGGCTGCATGCGCAGCATGCGAGTTAAGCCCAGACTCCTGCTCCTGGCTGCGCAAGAGGAACACTCCCTATGTCCATTGCAAGAGTACAGCCTTGAAAAAAAAGCCTTGCCATAACTCCTAACGCGAAAAAACCCTAAATCTTGACCCTTCCCATCAAGTCTTCAATCTACAGGGATTCCAAGGTCAGACGCGAAGACTAGCTCTCCCGATTCAGCCTGCATGGGCACATATACAGTGCATTTGTTGCCAAGGTTCCCAAAAAGCAATCTCGCCTGCCCAAACTCTAACCCTGCAGCTCTACGTCCATACATTTGAGATAATACCTACATTGGGCCCTAAAGGCCATAAATAAAACCTACATTTGGCCGTAACGTGTATAAACAACAAGAACATGATCTTTATAATTCATAAGTCTACAAATCAGGACCTGCATTGAGCTATTCGAGGCCTTGAGGCCTTGGGGAAAACATGCGCCTCGTAGAGATTCTTCTGCTGGGCCCACTTGGCCCTTACGTCGGCGATCGATCGTTTGAGCTGCGCCATCTGAACCTCGCGGCCTGTGCCAAGGCGTCAAGGTACATGTCCTGCAAACCAGAGGTAAGAAATTCCTAAAGCCTAGAGCCCTATCGTCCCCCTTAATTAAGCAGAAAGGATATGGCTTTGGGTACATTATAATAAGATCCCCATATACCCTATATTCTATCTACTTAAGGGGGACTATAAACCCCTAAGCCCTTACTGAGCACCCCGAACCCATAACTCCAAAGAAGAACCCCGCCTCGGAGCTCTTCGTGCGCCGCCTCACAGCGCTGCTTTGCCTGAAGCAAGGTAAGTAAAGTAACTTAGGAAACATAACGCGGTTAAGGGTTTAGGGCTTTGAAAACCAGTGTTTACATGGGAGTTGAAATCAGGGGGTATAATAGAAGGATTCTATAGGCCGATCATTGATTCTACAGGCCTGTAATAAGCGGACTATCAAAGCACTCTCCAGGTCCTCATTTGAGGGGCTGGGGTTACCAAAAATGCTGTTTTACAAGGCCTTGGAATCTTGCACCACCATACGCTGGGTTGCCGGTCTGGTGGTTCGTGGGGAATGTAAAGAACATGGAAAGCACTAGGCTATTTAGTGCTCAAGGGTAGGATCTAGACTTTGTGGTTGTTAGTGGGGAATGAAATACTAGGTTTACAGGACTAGTAGAGAGTATATATGGGGCTCATTCCATTCAGAACCCACCGCTGTTAAGTGTGTGTATATATGCATATTTGATGGTATTAAAAATTATATGGTATTCATTCCTTCATTCCCTACTCACCTCCGTTAGATATGTTTTAGACATTGCAAGATTGCAGGGGATCCTAAGTGAACAGTCTGTCAGTGATTTTTTTGGAAATTCCTCACCCTAAGACCCTAAACCCTAAAACCCTAAACCCCAGAATTTCAGATAGATAATTTAAATCTTGATTTTGAATTTTTTCAGTCTTAGATAAATAAATGAATTCTTAGATTTCAATATATCTAGAGATCTCATTCCCCTAAACCCTAAAACCCTAAACCCGAACAGAGCCGTGAACTTGGCCTGTTGGAGGTCTGTGGCATACTTCTCCCGCTGCCGGTCAAGTTCGTGGATGCGCTCCAGCCTGGTTTGCAGCCGGAGATGAGTAGGGTTTAGGGTTTAGGGTTGGTAGTTGAACCCAGCAAGATTAGGGTTCAGGGTTTAGGGTGAAGTAAGATTATATCCTTTACGTAAAGTACTATACCCCAAAGGGAGGATATGATCTTACTCTATATTGGGTACAATGGTGTCCCTCCCCCCCAAAAAAAACTACTCAGGCACGGGCACGGGGGAAAGGCAGCAGGAGACTGGGTCGCTGTTAAGGAACTTACGTTCAGTTCCCATATGAGCTATAGTCTAAACTCCTTAAAGGGGGGTTATATAGGGGACGATATAAGTGACTATTATAGGGGTTCCTAAGGGAGATACTAGGAGTTTAGACTACAACTCATATGATGGGTATATAGTAGCTCATGGAGTTTCCTTATTACGGTAGTTTAGAGAAGGCTTGATTCGAGATGTGCAAAATGCTTGTAAGCCAGTACTGCCACTAGTAGCTTGTACAGGTAGCAATAATTACTACGCCAGTACGAATACAAAAGTCACCATTGCCTGATTTCAATCCTAAGCCCTACGTTTCAAAGCAGGGGATGGAAAGAGGGAAAGAGAGATGTGTTCAGGCCTGCAGGTGGGCACAAAGAAGAGCAAGGGAAGGGAAGAACCTTGGAAGGGTATCCTCAAGGGACCACCAAAAGTCCAGAAAAGAATTGTTGGATGTACATTCAGATGTTGCACGGCTTCCAGTTCCTTCCACTCCATGATTCGAACTCCCCATGCGCAAGAACCGTACACTTCCTGAAATCGTACGACGAAAATTTCGGCGCCTGCTTTTTGGTTCTGCTAGGCAAAGCTGGAAATTTCGTTTAGCATTCCAAAACCAAACCCTAAACCACCCCGGATCACTGAGCCCTGAGCCCTACACCGCACAGCCCTAAGCCGTAAGCCCTAGAACCCTTAGAAAGCCCTACACCCAAAAATCCTGAACCCTAAACCATCTGAGGGCCCGACTTCAGATGCAACTCAGTCTTCCACCGATGAAGATCCTTGCTGCTTCTGCAATACCACATGCGGCCCTTCTTCCCCTCTTGCGTCCCCCAAAATATTAGGGGACGTCTGATATTGGAGACCCAAACAGGAACCATACTACTTTTGTCCCTCAATTCCTCAGATAGCCCTACTTAGAGCAAAAAATGGACCCTTAGCATAAGCTGTGAGACCTGGGGCCCCTGCATACCTAGCACAGGATTAACCTATGTATACCCCCAAGGGTTCCTATGAGGGGCCCAGACTTTCAGCCTAGCCCTTCAGACATGGATCACAAACCCACTTTCGGAACAGGGGTCCGGAAGCGAGAGGAGAGACTTTGCTCTACCATCAGCCCTTCGGGATCCAGAATCCTACACTCTAACACCGCAAGAAAATACATGGCGATTTCGCGAAATTAGGGGTCCCTTTTAGGGGTCCCTATGATAAGTATTCTAGTACGTTGGAGTAATATACAGAAACTACCAAACCCCTAAACCCTAAACCCTAACCCTCAGACCCCTGAGTCGGTATCCTTCGAGAGCGTGATCGCCTGGCCCTTGTGCAGCTCGACAAGCTCTGCCTGTCAGAAAGGGTAGGGTTTAGGGTCCAGTTTGAAATAAGGATCATAAGAGCTGTAGTCTAAGCTCCTCAAAGGGGGTTATGTAGGGGACTATATTGGGTTCCTATTATGGGCTGATTACGGGGGATACTTGGAGTTTAGACCATAGCTCATCTTCCGAGGATTTAATGATTTTAAGGGTGTGGCAGGTTGAGTGCTTCAACTCGCCGATACGGTGGATCCCAAAAACCCTGCATGACCCTAAGTACATGAGACATTGGCAGTATGGTATCATAGTATACGAAGGTCATGCAGGATATGTAGTAGTTTCCCTAAATCACTGTTCCCATGGGGGAAATTTATGTAGGGCCCCGTATTATAATGGGAACCCAAATATAGGACCCCGTATTATAGGGAATTTAGACCAATACCCATATGTAGTATCAACAGTAGCACCTCCCCTTCGCCAATTTGTGCGACACGGCAACTTTGAGACAGCACTTCCAGTCAACTCCCCAACTCCGACACCCCGTACCTTCAAAAACCTCCGCAAGGAATAGGTGAAATGAAGCACTCAAGTTAAAGGACTGGATCCTAGATGGCTGTATGGTGAATACTGAGGGCTTGAAGATCACAGCGGAAATTACTGTGGCCCGAATTTGTTGGAACCTGAAGATTTGTCACCTAACTTTGGTACTCCAGGTCCCTACGGCAGGAGACTTCAAGGAATATACTACGAGAATCTAAGAGGTCGATTGAGGCCAGAACCTGCGACAATGAGATACACTTCTGCACCCGAGTCCCAAGCACCTCCTCTACATCCCAAACGCTAAACCCTAAACCCGAAATCATGGGAGGACATGAGGGAGCCCCTACACTACACTCCACATATGGATTCAGGATTTTGTGCGGCAGGCCTGAGGCAAATGATAAAACACGGACACAAAAAGCTGGCAAACAAAGTATGTCTCCTGAACAGTTTTCAGGCATACAAGGCCACCTAAACCCTAAACCCTAAACCCCAGTTCAGTAGGTGTCTGTGGCCAAGCTGCGGCTTCCTACAGGTTGTTAGAGTCTAGCTCGACTCAGATACCTGCGCCAAAGCCTACATAGTGCATTCTGCTAGGGTTTAGGGTTTATGAAAAGTCCTAAACCCTCTTGCGTAGCCATGCAACTACAAAGCCCACTACAACCCAACTCCGTACGGGCGCCTAGGTGTGCAAGCCTCCCTCCCCTCCAAGCAAGTGACACCCTATAAAGCCCATACACAATCCCAGGCTTTCCGATTGGCCAAACCCTAGACCCACCCTGAACCCTAAACCCTCTTAACCCAAATTTACATGGAAGCCCACCTTGCACCTTTTCAAGGGGACAGTGATTTTTTAGGGGCCGTTTTAGGGCTCCAAGCTAGTTTGGGTGAAGGTATGCTGACAAAGCTGGCGCCTGCTGCTTCGAGCGCTCGTCTCCCTTCATCAGCGCCTTGTTGCGCAGGCAACTTGCGGGGGGTTAGTAGGGAATTAGGGAATATAAGATATGTTATATTGGGATTACATAGGGATTGTACTACCATGCTTTGGTGAAGCTTTCGAACTGCAGCAAATGATGTTCCCTCAAGATAGCCTACCTAGGTAGGCATATTCCGAAACATTGGTGTTATCTATGCTAGCAACATAAGCAATTAGATGACATTGCCTGGCTTTGCTTGGGTTTTCCTACTGTACGCTCACTACCAGCTTCAGCCGCGCCTTGCCAAGGATGTCCCTCTCATGCAGGAGGTCGGTGATTTGCTTCTCGTGGGCTTCGGAATCCTGCTTCTGCTTGTCCAAGTCCTCGCAGTGCGAATTTGCGAGATGAACGGACTTCTGAATAAGAAAAGGAAGCATGCGGAAATGCCGGTGAAACGGAATAGGGCCTGTGTGGAACTACGTGGGCATTAACAATTCCTCTATGAGGGAGGTCGTAGGACCTTGCCGGAAGTGCGTAGGCGTCAGGGTGCCTCGAAAAATGTCATTCTCCTTCTTGCAAGCTGCGACTGACGAAGACAATCGTACAATACTTCTGCCATCTGGCTTCCACTGTACTCAGCTTTTGGTACAACAGGAGGGCCATATGGGTGGTTGTCAAAATTATGGTCCCTTTTTGGATCTCTATTATAACACGGCACCTAATATTTAGGGTCCCTAAACCCTAAACCCTAAACCCTAACAATCACCCATATGCCCGTGCGTGACAGGTAAATTTGAAGTCCCGGTCTCCTCTGACTTGAGCACAGCACTGCTGCAGGATCACAAATACCTTCCCTTAAGTGTCCAAGGACCCAAATAATAGGGTTTTAGGACCCAAATACCGTTCATATTATAGTATTTGGGCTCTAAAACCCTATTATTTGGGTCCTTGGACCCTTAGGGTTCTAGTTTCAATCGCATTCATATAGTCCTCACAATCCGCACCCTGGCCCCCAAGACCGTAGTCTAAACCCAAACTCCCAGATCTGATTTTGAAAGCCGACAGCACTACATGGTACATTTGCCTAGGTGTGCCTGCTGCCCTCTTGGTGTTCTTGGGAAACTGTTGGAGATGACCCTGCTGCTGCAATTCTTTCAGTATGCCTTGGGCTTTGGATGAAGCATGGTCCGGACCCACGTCGGAATAAGGACCTAAAGCCTTCCAACCCTAAACCCGAGGCCACAACTAACAGGACCAAAACCAGCCTAGTACACCCAAAGCCTTGCTAAAGTCCCCTCCTTGAACCCAAGCCCGTTAAGGACATGGTTGCAAAATGAAGGAAACACTTCTTACTAGGTGGTGCAGAGGTTGTCTATTCAGGGAACAGGGCTAATTCATAAACATCCTCCAAACCCTAAACCCTATGCATCCCTATACATGCTAAACATGTATATATGTATACATGTATATATGTATGGTGTGTATATATATATATGTATATATATCCCTAGAAAATCTATCCCTATATACCCCTTCTATAAACCCGCAACACTATCCGAAACCCTAAACGCTAAACCCAAACCCACACGGTAAGCCCCGACACCATCCTCCTGCAGCTTCTTCACCTGCCCTCGGTAGTCGGTCGTCTTGGCCTGCCCGTCGCCGCGCTGACGATTGTTGTTTAGGGTTTAGGGCTTAGGGTTCCTAATTGAAATCAGATATAAAAGAACAGTTGAGTACTCCCTTCTGGGCTCTAGTAGAAGAAGAAGTGCAAAAAAATGCTGACAATCAGCCAGCTTTGAGCATGTCTTCTCATACATCGCACGTGCACGTGTTCAAGAAGACACCCTGCTCTGCATAGAAAGTTGAAAGGGAGGTTGACTCTTCGAGAAATGCACCCGAGCAGCCATGATACAGACGCAACAGAGGGGCCTAAATAGTTATCAATATCAGTGTGAAGTCTAGTAGAGCTATCCTATACCATAATTAACTTACAGAAAGATTCTAGAAGCTCAAAAATGGCAGGTACTTAGCCTTCTATGGTATGTTGTTATTAAGTAGATGGTGATGCGGGGAACATGGCGAAGAAAGCCTCTCGGAAAGATCTGCGTTTGGTGATGTTCGTGCACTCTGACTGGAGTGTAGAGTTTAGGGTTGGAGCACGCTTGTTGCCCTACCTGGTATCAGCCTATAGACACTGAACGCAGTTGTTTTGGAAAACCCTCAAACCAAACCCACACCCTAAACCCTTCAACTGTTCAACTGAGAAATGACAAAATTCGCCGTTGCTGGCCTCGAGACGCCTCGACTCTGCGTCATCCTTGTCTTTCAATGTCTGGAGAGCCTTTTTTGCAGCGTGGAGTCATGGAGCAATGATTTGTCAAACGTGTTGGTTTTCTTGGAGAGAACACAGAGGGGCCATTCATACTTGAGGTTGCTTTGTAGAGTTCCTGCTCAGCAGCACATGAGGTTCCGTCATCTTGTATGTTCCCAGCTTTATCCGTCTCTGAAACTGGAGTTTGCAAATAGAAGTCTGTGCTGCGCTGAATGTGCTGGTAGCTGTACTTTGGCGCCAAAGCCGCCAAATCAAAAAGGACTTCCCTCCAACCAAAAACCGAAACCCTAAGCCCCAAGCCGTGCAAACTTCTCTTCAACAAGCCAGGTCACTTGCTCAGTTAGCACCTGAGCCTTATGCCAAGAAACCAAGCTAGCAAGATATCCGCGTTTGATGCCTCTCTGTCTGGCAGGTTTTCCCTCCCCCAAACTAACATGGAATTTGCAAAGGCGGTTTGGGGTCTAGGGCTTAGGGTCCCATGTAGACTATCGTCAACTGAAATCCAGGGTTATATGGAGTTCCATGTCAGGTTAGGGGATGGTAATCCCGACAAGTACGACGCGACGCTCTCTCAAAAGATCACGAAATCAACAAGACAGGATTCTCCCGCAGTGAGGAGCCCTGTGGCTCAAACAAGCTCAATTGGGAGCGTCCGAAAGTATGGGTCCCTTTTTTGCAGCCCAAAGTACCAGAATCGTCTGATAAGAAACCCCAAGAATGGGACTCCGATTAACATCCCCAAATCCCTAGTCCCCAACATTTGCAAAAGATATTGTTGACGCAGGGCAGTACCTAGACCCCAAAAGTATATGTTGAACAGTGGCCGGATAAAAAGGCCAGTATCTACATTCTTTAGGGGTTCAGGAAAAATCCCCTTTCATATGCCCTGAACCCTAACCCTGAAGCATCAACCCAGCAACCCTCGTAACCATTTGCCAGCCTCAAGGCTCTTCGCTAGCTTTTGCTTTGAGCTTTTCAGCGCGTGGATCTCGTCCTGAGGGTACTTCAGGGTACAGGAGCTTAGAGTTTTGGAGTCGTGGCCTAGGGCGGTTTAGGGGTTTGGAAAGTTTGGGGTTCTGGGTTGCAGGTTTGAAGCGGTACTATTTGTTCGGGGTTGGGGGTTCAATGTGTAGGAAGTGAGGGCGGGCGACGCTATGAAGCAGGGTAAGAGAGCTTTGGCGGGCTATCCCATACAACGAAAGCAAACATAACGATCAGAGAAATTGGCACTATCATGTTTACACCTGCTGTGAAGAGGTAGAAATGAACTACCTTCTGCCAATCAAGAGCAGAGGAAATTGCTAAGTATGGAAACCATCGTAGAGATGAGAAAACTTTGGTCTAGTAATATTGAAATGAAACCGAACTGTAAACTCACAGGCAGCAAAGGGCATGGGTGTCATCGAGTGGTTGACTTGCATCACCTCTTGCTTGACATGCACAAGGCAAACAGCAGCCCCTAAACCTCAACCGTGTGGCACGATTTCCCGCCCGTTTTGGGGCGTGAAGGATGAAGATCTGAACTCGGCAAAGCCACTTCAACAAACCCCTGGCCAACCTTATAACTTCGGAGGACCCCCCACCCTGTAATAGTGGTATAGTAGGAGTATAAGAGGACCCTAATATATTTATTATCCCTTATAGTCACTATTACTGGGTGGGGAGTCCACCTAACTTACAACCCATGCCAGCTGTAGGCAAGCGGTCCCTGTACAAGGCTCAAAACACGGCGTATAGAAACAAGTCCTAGCAGAACCTAGACATGATTATTAAACCCCCTCCTTTTAAGGGCCTTAGTTTAAGGATCCCTACTATAATCCCTATTAAAGGGAGGGGTTTAGTAATCATGGGTCTACATTAAACCCTAGACCCTAAACCTAACCCCTAACCCGAACCCCCTAAACCCTAAACCCTGAACTCTAAACACTAAACCCTAAGCCCCAAAACCCTAAACCCTAAACCCTTCACCCTAACTCCCCAACCTACGGCTCAAGAGAAAAGCAGAGCCAATTGGCCTGGCGAAATTTCACTTTTGCCTTGTAGTCTGCCTGCATGGGGCAGGAAACTCTTTGGCTCGGAGGTTGGAAGGACTACTTTGATTCTGCGTTCGTAAGATCCCACACGGTTCAGGGTTTCGGGTTTAGGGTACCTTAATTGAAAGTCTTCAGAAATTAGACCTTTTGGGGGGTCCTGTCTGAAATAGACATGGCCCTGCAGCTAAACCAGGAGAATGAATCGTGCGCGCGTACCTTAAGTACCCCATAATCCAATGAACTTCCTCCGCAGAGTGAAGGAGAGAACCACCTGTTCCGAAAAAAAATATACATCCCAGGAACGAAGCGAATCCACGAACAAAGCTACTGGATAGCGCTCTCTGTCTCGCCCCTCCCTTACCACTCTATCAATCCTCTAGACAACCTCCCTAATCCACAAGCCCTAACTCTGATGGCCTATACCCTGTAGATTTCGGAGATTTTTCAAATAGGATGATTGTGCTGTAGATTGGGGCGCCTGTTTTTGGAAACTCCTATATAGTGTGGGTCTATATCGCTACCACCAGCTTTCCAGGCGAATTTCCCGACCTCAAAGTCCTCAAATTGAGTATTTGCACCATATTCCTAAACCCTACACCCTAAATAGCAGTTTCCATTTTCCACTAGCCATTATACTCCTCCTAAACCCTAAACCCTAAACCCTAGTCCCTACATAGTCCGTGTATGTCTATCTATCTGTCTATCTGTCTAACTATCAATCTATCTCTCTATCTATAGCCCCCCTTAAGTAGATAGAATATGGCTGTGGGTATAGTACAACAAGATCCGCATATACCCATATTCTATCTACCTACGGGGACTATAAACCTAAACCCCAAACCCTAAACCCTATATTCTATCTGCCTACGGGGGACTATAATCCTAAACCCCAAACTCCAAACCCTAAACCCGATATTCTATCTACTGAAGGGGGACTATATATATCCCGGGTGAAAGGCCCGCCTGCTCGTCCTTGAGCCTGGCCAAGGTCTGCTGTTCCTGCCAGGGCCGTAGAGCATGAATATAGGGGAATGGAAAACAAAACGAAAACTACTATTTAGGGTTTAGGGTTAATAGAGCGTGCCCATAAGGGAATGGAAAAGAAATCGAAACTACCATTTAGACTTGAGGGCTCAATTGTTGAGGTTTAGGGTTTAGGGTTTGAACCCCGATAGCCCCTTAAAAAGGGATGGAAAGGTGCTCTCCAAAACGTCTGGCCTCCTTGTGCTGCTTGATGAGATGCTCGTAGTTTCCCTTCAGCTGCGCCGCTCTGATTGTGAGCCGCTCTTCCTGGGCATGTTTAGGGGGGTTTGGAGTTCAGGGCATGGGGAGGATGACTTAGGCATTATGACTTAGGACTTCATGGCTTGAGGACTTAGGGTATAGGATGGTACCGCGCTTGGTGCTTTTGGGTGCGGGGATTATGGATTAGGCAGGGTTTGGGGAGCAGTTCAGGTTCAGGAGTAGGTTTAAGGAACTTCTACGGCACTGGAAGCTCTAGGTACTGCTTCTGGCATATGAGCTCTAGTCTAAACTCCTAGCATCCCACCTTAAGAAGCCTGCAAAAGTCCTCGGTGTAATCCCCTATATAACCCTCTTTAAGGAGCTACAGTCAACATTATCAACCCCCCATAATCAAGGAATGGACATGGGTTCGTTAGTTAGAAGTAGATTGGGGACTACACTAAACTACCCCTATGTCCCAACATTGATGGTCCCTTGGCAAGCCGAGTATTGACCGTAGCTCATATAGTATTCGAAAAGGCTCCAAGCGGTGCGCAGAGAAAGAGCACGTGAAGAAAGATGTCTACCACGAGTCTCACGGAAGGGAGGCAGTGCGCTACTTGAGCCAGTCATATACTTATCCCATGTATCATCCCCCCCACAAACTTCTAACTCAGAGAGGGATGCTCAAGCCAGACACCCCTACAGGCTCTCCATGACCTTTGTAATGGCCTTGACAACTACCAACATGAATTTGAGGTGTATTGGGGGCCCGGTGTCATAAATATACAAGGAATCTAGGACCATAACGCTGGCAATTGTTTCGGCCCGCATATCAATACAAAGGTGATGCCTCAAAGCCATCCATGATCGGGGAGATTTGCTTTACTGACTACTTCGCTCACCAACACGCAGGGCCTTGCTCCAAATCATCCAACTCAGTCCCATCAGAGAGTGGACCCGTTATGATCTCCGCTTAACACCCGTGTATCCCATGGTACTAAGAATGTTCCCATCTTTGAGAAGCTGGTACTTTCCCTAAATAAGGGGACCCCAATACAGACCCCAACATAATATTCTTCTTTATTATTGGGACCCCCAAAAAAGGTACCCCTAATTTTGGGAAACCCCAGCTCTTAAAAAGGCCCTGTAAATTGCGAAGGGCCGCCTCCTGCCGCTCTTCTCGCAGCAGGCGCTGTAGATGCTTCTGCTTCTCCTGCAGGCACCCAGTATTTGGTGATTATATGAGCCATTGTCTAAACTCCTAGTATCCCCCTTAATAACCGCTATAATACTGCCCTATATAATATATATTTCCCTATATATATACCCCTTTAAGGAGTTTAGACTATAGCTCATCTAGGGGTTATACTTATTCCCGTATTCCCTACCAACCACCGGTAAGGTTGCGTCCAAAGACTTGCAGAGGAGTAAGGCCAGAACGGCAGAGCGAAGAGGAGGAGGAGGGGGTGAAGAAAAGGAAAAATAGCGGCGGCAAACAAACCCTAAACCCTGAAGCCAATATGTGAACTACAGAGTGCTTAATTATGGGGGTGTTCTTGCGGATTCTATACCCATACTGTTGTTTGAAACCCACTTAGGACCTTGCCAGGATCATATAGGCATATAGGAATTATATAGGGATTTTATAGGGATGATGTGAGGATGTCAAGCAATACATGGGGTTTCTGTAGGGACTATATAGGAATCACCTGCCATGGCGGACGGAGTGCCGAGGTTCAGGAACGGCAGCCCGCAGAGCTCAGGGCTTAGAAGAAGTGTGTCCATAAACCCTAAGCCCTAAAATCTAAACCCCTAAACTCCTTTACAAGAACTGTGTACAAATTTTATAAACTCACTTGGACCAGAGTTTGCTTTGTGCAGCCTTGAGTTACGTCAAGCTCGCATTGGCATAAAAACTTACTGGTGCTTGGTAGTGAATATGGGAGTACATTATATTATGGGAGTTTCCCAAAATCAGGGGTACCTGTTGGGGGTTACTATTACAAGGATTTGAATGTTTTGGTCCTTTATTCTTGATTGAGAACCAGTATGAATAAATGCCTCGTCTTTTTGAGGCCCAAAGCTCCTACAGCTTAGGGTTTATGGTTTAGGGTTGGGGGCTTAGGGTTTATGGCTTAGGGTCTAGGGCTTAGGGTTTGGGGTTTAGGGTTGGGGGCTTAGGGTTTAGAGCTTTGGGTTTAGCGTCTGGGGGCCCTAAACCCTGCACATGTCAGTCAAAGTAACCTGCATGTTGCCCGTCGCATCTTCCACGCAAATCCTGAGAAGAACTCAGCAGCTCTACCGGAGCTTCCCACGAAGGTCCACAGTCGTCCACGTTTGACAGATCTCGGATGCTAAATATGGGTGGTTGTCAAAATTATGGTCCCTTTTGGATCCCTATTATAATACGGCACCCAATACTTAGGGTACCCAGAAAGGGACCCCAAAAAGTTGACAACCACCCATATTAATTCAAGCCCCAAATCATTGATAGACACGGATCCCTGGACTGATCGCCAGCCCCAAAGCCCAAACCCTGATCCAGAAACCTGAAACTCCGCTACCTAATCCCTAAACGATAAAACCTTTGACCCTGAATCCTAAACCCTAAACCCTAATCCCTAAACTCTAAACCCTAAACCTTAAACCCTAATCCCTAAACTCTACACCCTATTGTGAAACCCTGCAAGGAGGCGAGAAAGGGCGGCCACCTCGCCGTGGGCAAGTTCTTCTCGCCGGGCGTTGACTTCGCTTTGCTTAGACTCCAGGCCTTCTTGGCTTCAGTTAGGGTTTAGGGTTTAAGGGTTTAGGGTGTTAGGAGTTGAGGATTTGGGGGTTTAGGGGTTTAGGGTTTGGGGGTTTCGGGTTTTAGGATAAGATCCCCCTATATCGTGCTATTCCGGGGGATCTAAATCTCGGAATCCTTTGCGGGTCTTGGTAACGAAGGTGAAGACTATGGGCCCCAAGATAGATATATGCATGTGTATACGTATATATATATATATAGAGAGAGAGAGAGGGAGAGATGGAACATCTAGATTCCCCTGACTCTCCCTAAAAACACCAAAGGTCTGTCATACGGTATGGCCATACTTCCAACCTTGGGTTAGTATCACACGGTAGGGGCCGTACTTCCAACATTGGGTTAGCAGATTAAATTTAAGGTTTGGGTCTTAGCATGGCAAAGTAAGACTGCGAAGAACAAGACAAGAACCATGGTCTTCATGTCATGAAGCGCTTTCCAAAAATGCGGGGGGTCCTTTTTGGGGAGTAAATACACTGAGGTATACGAAGGTGCCTCCCTTTCTTGGGTATACCTGCGAGAGGGCATGAGATTCGTGAAGCTCAGGATACTTACATAAGCCGGCCCATTCATACCTAGATTTGATGACAGGGTGACCTACGAGAAAATGGGAGAGCGAATGTGGGTATTCTAATGGAGGTACGTAAGGACATCTCATAGGTATAGTTGTTGGGGCCCTCCTGCACTCCAAATCAAGAGGTGGTGAGAAAACGGCAGTTGCAGCGCGGACCTTTAGTGATCCACTTTCTGCAAGCCACTGATCAGCCACACCCACCCCTTTCTGGGCTCAAAGCGAAAGGCACGCCACTGTAATTATACTGCATCTTTGCCTCCTTTCTGCATTCGGCCTTGTTAGGGTTTAGGGTTTAAGGAATGCAAACCCAAAATGACCTGCAACAGAGAGCTCACGCGCCTTGTCTCATGTCTTTCAAGTCCTCCCATGCACAGAAGTGGTTCGCCATCTACATATGCAAGGCTGCGGAGTACTGAGCAGCTGGGGGACTCTGTTTGAAGCCACATGGGGATTTCACAAATGGGGGGCGGGAGGGGGGGGGGAATCATTTTGTGTACCTCAAAATGAATAAATCCAAATACTAGAAACCCCCAGTTCCATGTCAGAAGGTTACCGCAAAATGACCCCTGCATCGGAGCCCTGCTTAATGCAAACAATTTGCCTGAACCCTCAAATGTAGTTCCTTTTTGGGTTTGGTATGTTTTTTTTGGTTAGGATTGTTACTAAGACTACCAAAAAGGTACTACATTGGAGGGTCTAGGTAAGGTTTAGAAGGAACGTCGAGCCTGGAAGGCACCCAGAAAGCATAAAAAAGGCTTACGAGTGAGCCCAGCGTACGCAAGTGAGAACCGAGAGGCTACATTTCAGCAGCCCTAGCGGAAACTAACGAAAAAATTGATACGAAATTGATGAACCAGGAGCAACTACCCCCAAGCTGACCGTTTGAGGCTACTCCTCTCCTGAGATTTGAAGCGAAGATCCGGAGCAATACCTGGCTTTTGAGCTTTGAGGCCTCAGTAGGGAAGCTCCTGCTGGCTTCAAACTCCCATGCCAAGCCCCAACAAGAAAAGCTCCAAACCAATCCCTGCAGCACTCCCACACCCTAAACCCGAGACAGGCAGAGTCCTTGTCTAGCTTCTCTTTTCGCTTCTGCTGTCGGTCAGCCTCCTGAGAGGCGGAACAGCAATTGACACAAGATTCCAGTACGACAGCTCCACAGGGGGTCATGAAAGAGGGTCAGCGCGTATATGAACCAGAGTCTGAGCTCCTAGTATCCCCTTTGATATAACCTCCCTTGAAGGAGTTTAGACTACAGTTCACATATAGGAAGCGCTAGATATTCCTATCAATCCTAACCCCTACACCCTGAGCCCTAAACCCCAAACCCTAAAACCTAAACCCCAACCCTAAACCCCGATGACGGAGCCTCCAGCAGCTTTTGGAAGGCTTCTCGGAGTGACTGGAGCTCGCCATTGCCCTGAAGCCGCTCCTCCAACCGGAGGTGTTAAAAATTTGGGTTAGGGGTTAGGGGTTAGGGTTTAGGGTGTATGTAGGTTTAGGGTTTGGGATTTGGGGTCTAGGGTTGGGGTTTAGGGTTGGGGTTTAGGGCTTTGGGTCAAAGGGTCAGGGTGTGAAGTTACTGTTTAGGGGGAGCGGGGGGTGGATCCCTATACTAATTCGCGTGTGACCTGCAACGCCATATATAGTATGAACCGTCCCTGATGTCAATCTGTATCTACCAGCTTTATGTGGTAGTTTCCCAAAATAAGGGGACCCCAACATTGACCCCCAAATACTATAATCCTTATTATGGGGACCCCCAGAATGGTACCCCTAATTTTGGGAAACCCCCATGTCCTGCTCCAGTTTCGCAACCTTCGCCGTCAGGTCGGTGTTCTGCTGCTGCATTTGCTGTACCTATCGGGCTCTGGCGTTTCCGTTAGTTTAGATTTGGGGTTGCAAGGGTCTTCATTGATAGTATGGGGTAGCGTATCCAAAAAATTAAGCCTTCATGGGCACTGTACAATACCTTCACCGATTTCGAAATGTAACCCCTCAACCCTAAACCATATAGTCCCCCTTAAGTAGATCGAATATGGCTTTGGCTATATTACAATAGGATCCCCATATACCCAATATTATACCTACTTAAGGGGGACTATACCCTAAACCGAGGCCAAACTTGCAAAGAAAAGGCTGCTTGGCCTCCGAGTCAATGTGCTTTTGGTAGCATGTTTGCAGCCAAGGCTGTACTGTTGATACTAAAACTGCTGCATGACCTTAATATACAATAGTCCCGTTATTTCCTAGATATAATGTACTCAGGGTCATGCAGGATTTTTAGTATCTACCGTATGACTCTAAGGCCAAGCTCTAGCACGAGGTTGGTGGTCTAGACAGAGACTTCCTGGTGCTCAAGGGAGAGTGGGGGAGTGGATCCTTATGTAGCAATCTTTATGTAATCGCCATATATACCCCCAGAATGGTACCTATATTCACTCCCCCACTCCCCGTTAAGCACCAGGAGGGAGAGCTCCAACACAAGAAAGGCTGTCGAACATCATGGGGCCTTGTTGGGACCACGGTATCCCACTGCACTGGATATGGTCAACTTGTTGACAACTTCTCTGCTATGTTCCCTATTGCTAGTATACAGTCCTCAGAGCAGCCTTGCAACATGTTTGAGAGTCACTCACTCAAACAGTCGCCTGACCCTGGAGCATATCCCGATGCTTGACGAGGTCGTTCTTCTCCTGCCAAGAGGTTTTCAGGGCGCGGGGGAAGCGGGAGGGTTCGGATTAGGGGGTTTCAGGGCTCAGGATTAAGGAAATGCAAAGTGAGCCTTGAACAGTTGCAGAGCGGCGGGAAGGCTATCAGCTAGGCTTGCGGTTATTGGTTTGCCTGGCTTCTTTGTCTTCTTCACATACAGCGATAATCTTTTTATGCACACAGCTCACACTCATTGGTCAGAGCCCACACTTGCATTGATAACTATTCAGATTATGGTGGTTTTTAGTTCGGATGATTGCCATGATGTCAGGGAGCTTGGTTTAGGGACTATAGCACAGCCGTCCACATGGTCAGCGCCACTTTCCCTATAGATGCATCAAATTCTGACGTGGCCAAGAAATTCCGGCCTCGTTGCCGACAACTTAGGCCCCAGACATGTATGCAACAGTGATTTTTTGGCTGTACACACTTAATTGAACATTCTGAAGCCACAGTTCCGTGCGCCACCAGGCCTCGCGTAAACAAGAGCTGCAAAAACAGTTGTGATCACCCTAAACCCTAAACCCTGAATCCCTAAACCCTGCAGATCCTGCAAATGCTTTTGATGGAATATTAGGAACCCCCAACACTCCACAGTTCAGAGGTCTCAATTTTGCTGCTGTCCGTCAGATCCCTTCTTCTCCCAGAAAAGGAAACAAACCCCTCTTCTTCCGTGCAACTACTTGGAGGGTCAGGGACTAAAACCTAAATCCTAAACCCTAAACCCCAAAGCCTCAACCCTAGAGCTCTGGAGCCTAAACCCTAAACCCTAAAGCCTAAACCCTAACCTACTTACTACTGCCCCTGAGAAACGATGTCGGCTGCTGTCGCTATAGTTTGCTCAGGATAAAGCACATCTAAAGTTTTACGAGGAGCTCGAGCAGCTCCTATGGCTCCCAGGAGAGCCGTCAAGGTTTATAGTCCCCCTTAAGTAGATGGAATATAGGGTTTGGGGTTTGGGGTTTAGGGTTTAGGTTTATAGTCCCCCTTAAGTAGATAGAACATAGGGTTTAGGTTTTGGGGTTTAGGGTCTAGTGTTTAGGATTATAGTCCCCCTTAAGTAGATAGAATATATGGAGTGTATGGGATCTTGTTATGATATACCCAAAGCCATATTCTATCTACTTAAGGGAGACTATAGGGTTGAGATGTTTAGGGTTTAAGGGGCTTCAGGGTTTAGGGACTAGAGCTTCGGAGTTATGGTATATTATAGTATAACATACTAAGTAGCATATTTTAGCATACTTTTTGTGACACAAACCCCCACCTCTTGCCAATCCAGGTTCTAAGGGTTTTACACGGACCCACAGCATCCCGCCATGAAGCCCAAATCCTATCTCAAGAAGGTCCTGGACCAGCTGATTAACCATGTTCTCCTGGTTGATGCTTAATCCAGCGCCTGACACCGAACAGCTCATTCAGGCATATCTGGTTTTAGGGCTCTGCTAGGTAATCAGGGTTTACAGTGTAATTTAGAATAATTTCAATCCCCAAGTGAAGGCAATTTTGGTATCATTCCCTATATAAACCACCATTTCGAACGAGGTTGGGTGAGGTCGCTTTAAATTGCCCAGGGGCTTAGGGTTATAGATCTCTGGGGTGTTTAGGTGTCAGGGTTTGCGGATCATGGGAGCTCCAGGATTGGGGTCTTGAACGCTAGGGAACGTGGTTGCTGCGCTGTGCTGAAGCACTGGCGAGGAAGCCTGGCAGCGAAGAGAATCATGTCGTGCTAACCTTAGCCACTGCTGCGAATAAGACTATCTCATTGAAGGCTACCATACCCAACAAATACTGTAGCAGCCTCGACTTTCTTGTCCGTTCCTCATACCCTACCAAGCTACGTAGGACTCGTATACCCATCATTATTCTCCTCTCGGGAAGTCGGGGAAGTGCGGACAGGCTTTCTGGAGATACCCCTTGCGCAATACACTCTGTGAAGCCTTCAGCAAGTAATAACAACTGCCGGCGACCGTAAAACCGTGAACAGACCATGTCTTGGTACCCAACTACCATTTATGTTCCAAACGACTTGGCCTAAGCGTACATGTCTAAGAACATCAAGAGCAGAATCACTGATGTTCTGCAAATCGAATTTACCCCAAATCCCCAACCTAATTATGTGAACCGCCGCGGCTGGTCGCTGCTTCCCAAGATGGATGCCCCAGGTTCCATAATATCGAGACAAAACCGAAACTCAGCGTAAATAAGCATCTCTTCTCCACACTACACCCCTAAACCCTAAACCCTAAACCCTAAACCCTCAGGACTCGCCAGCCCTGAATCACTAAAACCACCCATCCCTAAACCTCCGACACCTCAAACCCTAAGCCATAAACCCTCAAACCGAACCTATAGCAGTGTTCTTCTTGTTCTCCATTCCCCAAATCCCCTTTAAGAACCCTGAGCCCAAAAGCCTGAAACCAAACCTCCATAGTACTTGCCACTTTCTTTTCCATTCCCCCGCTCCCTCAACCCTAAACCCTAAACCCCAAACTCCAAATCCCGCATCCCCACGCCAACCCCAAAGCCTGAACCCTAAACCCAACCCTAAATCCTAAATCCTAAACCCTAAACCCTCAACCCAACCTGCCTTGTTCTACCAGCCGCCCGAGCTTGGTAATTTCGGACTTCAAGTTCTGGATCGTCTCCCTGGCTCGCTGCTCCTTCTCGTGCGAGGCCTCCGCGTATTCAGGGTTTCAGGTTTCAGGGCTTCGGAGCTTAAATTAAGTTACCGCAATATGGGTATATATGTACTATAGTCTAAACTTCTAGTATCCCCCTTAATAGCACTTATAGTAGTCCCCTATATAATCCCCTATATAATCCCCTATATAACCCCCATTAAGGAGTTTAGTCTATAGCTCATATGGGTATGTAGTAAAGAAAGGCTTCCTTTTTTGGGTAACTTAATTCAGGGTCATTTAGAATAATTTCAATTCAATGTAAGGCCGATTTGGTACTACACTCTATATAAACCACCATTTAGGGTGAGCTCGCTTTAGATTGCCCCATTGAGTAGTGTTTTTTTGGTGGTTGAACCTAGTAAGATAATATTCCTCGTATAAAATACTATACCCGAAAGGAGGATATAATCTTACGTTATATTGGGTACCATAGTATACTACTCAATTAACTTAACAACACTCCCGTCTTGGGTTCCGGGATCGGGTTTTGGTGTTGAAGGCTAGGGGGCTTTAAGGTTCGGGGTGTTGAGGTCTTAGGATTTAGGGCTTAGGATGTTAGTTTTTAGGGTTTAGGGTCCGTCGTTGGTATGAGGGAGGATAATTTTCAGATGATCAAAATTTGCAAGTCCCCCCAATCCCCAAATACGGTTGTAAAGAACCTTGGGTTCTAAGTACAAGTCATCAACCCTAAACCCTTGCTAAATCCTGCGCCCTGAACCCTGAACCTAAACCCTTATAAGGCGATAAGTGCCTGAACCTCCAAAGTGGGGTTTGGAGTTTAGAGTTTAGGGCGCAAGCGCTGCCTGAAGCGAAAGTAGAGTCTCAACCCCGAGGCCCCCCAAGCTGCAACTGGATTGCTGCTAAGGAATTTAGAATTAGTTACTATTATGGGTGTATATACATATAAATATATAGTAATTCGCATGGTTCCCCAATATAGTTTCACTTTAAGTGTAATCTTTAACAGCAACGCAGACAATGAATCCTGAAACTCTAGCCCTAGAAACTGGACTCAAGTCCTGTAATCCTTGGCCCCCAAATTTGACCCCCAATATTTGAAAAACATATTCTAAACGCAATTCCTTAAACCCTATTTCAAACCCTAAGCCCTAAGCCCTGAAGCCAGATCAAGAAACAAACTGACCTCCACCATCTTCCACGCACGCTCGATCTCCTTTTTGAGCGCTGTGATGGTCGCCTGGTCTTCCTGCAAAGGGGGATCCATAGAATCGTAAGGCTAGCAGGGAACAGAAAAACTGGGGCAGCATGATATGATTTAGGTGGGTTTAGTGTCTATAGGGTTTAGGATTCACTTACTGGTGGTAAGTGGAGGAATGAAACACTTGATCCTGGGGATTATGAAAAGGGATGAGACTAGTATTACTCTAGGGATCCATGCCTTTGTTCCCTACGAACCGCCGTAATTTCAAGCAGGTACCGAGTGTGCTGGACTTCATGTGAGCCATTGTCTAAACTCCTAGTATCCCCCTTAATAACCCCTATAGTAGTCCCCTATATAATCCACTATATAACCCCCTATATAACCCCCTGTAAGGAGTTTAGACTATAGCTCATGTACTGGTCCAAACCCTAAGCCCTCACGCCCTAAACCCTACTTGCAAGAGGAACTCTGCGCCATATCTTGCCTCTTCTAGGTACTCAGGCAATAGCTATCTCTCTCCCAATGACAAGCGTTTTTTTGAGGATCTAGGGATTGTGGGATGCATCAAAACTGCCACTTCAAAACAATACCCTTCGTGGGGAGACCTGGAACCCCTTTATCCTAAACACCTGATAAGAATCTCACACACTGACTCACTACTGGCCCCAATCCATTGGAACTCTTCCAACTGCCCGCCTCCTTACCATACTACCCGAGAAACGGCACAAAGATGATTGATCGTGACGACTCCTGGCCTGCGACAGCTTCAGCGCCGTTTGCACCTGCCAGCAGGGGCACCGTCCCATTGAAGAATATGATGTGGGTAACCCCACTTGGAGGGTCAGGGGCACTTGGTAAGTAGGTTAATAATTGGGATATTTAAGGTTACTGTATGGGCTACAGGGCTTATTAACCTATTTACAATGTCCCCCTGACCTTCCAAGCAACCCCTATAATAAGGGCCCTACTTATGATTGTCATAAGACTCATAGGAGGTCCGCATTGCTGTACAATGGTTGGGGTTACAAAAAACCCCATGATTCTCATCGTGGGGCTGAAGACCATAGTAGTTTCTGGTTCTTTTCCATTATCCCAAAATAACCCCAATATAACCCTTAGGGAACCCCAATTTAATATAACCCTGCACTAGTTCTCTATGAGATCAGGTGTCTATGACCGGCAGTAGAATTGACCGTAGATTCTGTTGGTGTTTAAAATTCACGAGAGGCATAAGGGGCTTTTGGATCATCTGCTGCAAATTCTTCTGTAAGTAATTTTGTTGGTTCTCGACACCTACGACAGAACCTGCTTCCCCTAAACCTAGAACCCCTCGACCCATAAGCCCCCACCTCTAAACTCTCCTTAAACCATAAGCACCCAAACCACAAACCTATACATCCGAATAGCAACAGCCAGTATTCACTCCACAATCCAAGGGTCCTAAATTGTAAGGGAAAACTTGTCAAGCCTTACAGAAGCACCACTGAGCCATCCATCACAGTCTGGACATTTCCCCCCAACTCCCACCCAAAATGGCCCATGTCTGTGAGAAATCCAAACTCACGACAATTCAGTTCTTTGCATCAACGACTCTCGCTCCTGGGGTATGGGAACCAGAAGAAGTCAGATTGAACCGTGTCCGAAGCTCCTCCCACCAAGGGAGGGAACTGGACACCTGATAGGGGCTTAAATCATTTGGGCATTTCTCAAACATGGGGGGGTCTCATAGGGACGTCGCAATGTATCATAGGGGTTTCTATAAAGGCTGATTTTGAGAAATGCCCTGGTGTGGACAGGCTAAAGGCCTGAAGGCTTTGAATTAAGACCGAATTCGGTTGTGAATTGCGACCAGGGCAGGCAACATCCTGACTATCTGGCTAGCCTACGCTTTCATGTTCTGTTACAATTGATTTTCCACTATTGGCACCCTTAACTCTAGATAATCATCCTTCTGCCCCTCCGGCCTAGGTCCAACACCTCCTCAGGAACAGTAGGGAACCCCTGACCCGGACGCCAAGCGACCGCGATCGACTCGCGGGCGGCAAGTCAAGTCAAGGTTTCCTTTACCGTGCGAATTACGAATTCGGGAGGAAGTGCTGCGTGCAGGCCGTCGTCGCTGGATACTTAGGGTTTGGGGTTTTAGGGTGGACTGTTGCTTGGGTCTAGGGCTAGGGCTCTTGGATTTCAGGCGAAAGGGTTTTAAGGATATGGAGCAACAAAATTGCACAGCCTGGTAGTGCATGGTGATGGCACAAAGCTGTCCAGATCATTGAAGTGTGGCTCAAAAACTCTGCCACACAAAAAGGGTCTGCCGGAAACGCCCTGGGTCGGAAAGCTCCAAAGTCCTATAGGCTTTATTGAAATCATGAACCTCGAGTCAGCGCGGTACTTGTAGAGCTCTTTAACTCATATGTGGTGGAAGCCCCAGCAATTTTCGCGTTGGGTCGCATTGGTGCAGCGTCTCAATCTGAATCTCGGTTAATTATTGAGGAAGATCAATCTGCAAATTACGCATGACCCTGCTAGAACGACTCAAACATGACCACGGGGTTCGGGCTTCACATGCCGTCGGCAATCTATTGACTTAGAGCTTAGAAGCTTTCACTGCTCCCATTTGGCAGATCCGGCGTTGCAAACTTTATGGGTGGAAGGCCAACTGCCAAGCCTCTAGGAGCAAGAGGCCTTCCACAACCAGGATTCGGATGCATCCACGATGGTCATTCGGGTCGTGTTGAAAATTGGCGTGACATGATGCCCAAAGGGGACCTCTACTGTCTCTTCAGAACCCACCTTACATCCCTAGGATCTGTGACACCTCTTTTTTGGAGAAACTCCTGGTAGAACTTCGGCAGCAAGGGTGGGGACTGCTCTTGCTCATGGTTCCGGACGTTTCTGGAAACTTCTCATGACGCTCGTATCCTTGCAAAGCCCACCATGTGATAGAAAGGAAACTCCCTGCACAGAATGGAACTTAGGATGGTGTAAGGATGCAGGGTTTAGGGTCTAGGGTCAAGGGTTTAGGGTTCTGAAATTCTGTAGTGCTCCTTGAGGTAGATACACTTTTGAGGATTTGGTGTCTTTCCTGTTAGGACCCTCCCAAGACAAAGTAGCAATCCTCCACATCAAACAACAAGAGTCGAGGGATTCGCGCACAAGTAAGGAAGCACCTACAACTTAGATGCTCAGGACTCCAGCCATTGAAGGGCCTTTGTAGAATGCCAACACGCTAAACCCCGAACCCCGTGAACAGTAGACTCCACATGCCAGACTCTAAGCCCTTTACATCCTACACTCAAACTCCATAAACCCTATACATCCTAAACTCGAACTCTTAACCATGCACATCCGAAACGCAAACTCTAAACCCTATACATCCTAAACTCAAAACTCTAAAGCCTAAACTCTAAACCCTCTACCTCTCTCAATCATGAATCATGGAGGCACCCTGGCCATGGCTTCGCATGCGGATCTTTGGGCCCAGAAGATGTCAAGAACAACCAGGTTTTGGGATCAGGGTTTTTCATGGTTATTAATCGCTTCCCTCTAATATTGAACTCCCCCTAACATTAAATACTAGTTCGCCAAAATTCCAAATTCTGAAGTCCGCCCCCAAAACTATTTTCAAAAGGGCCAAGACTAAAGACTAAAGTTAATTGCCGCTCGGATCCTCCGAATTAGCGGGGATTCTGGGCACGACTCTTAAGGATTTGGGATTTCCCTAATTTCCTAAGTTATATGGAAGAATTCCAGCAACAGATTCCAAGGCCCTCACTTGGAATCGTCCCTGCTAAGGCCCTAATTTGAAATAGTCCTTAATAAGGCCCTAATTTGAATTAGTCCCTATAAGGCCCTGACAATTTGGAATCGTCCCTATTGAGGCCCTAATTTGAAATAGTCCCTTATTAAGTTGATTTGATTTGATCAAACTTCATGCGAGCTTAATCAGATTTCTATTTGCCCCCCCTCATGTTCGGGTCGTACGATAAATATCCCCCCTAATATTGAATACCTTTCCGAGTATTTACATGGGGGGGTAGAGCCGTTTAATATTAGGAGGAAAGGGTTATTGGACTAGGACAGGCTTGCCGGGCCCCATGGATATGGAGAAAAGCACAGATGCACTTAGGGATCTGTTCTGTTCGTTCAGAAGTATGTCAAAGAAGCTCCTCAGCGTCACTAACACACTCGCAAAACTCGTGCGCATTTCACCACCGGAGCTTGCCATCAAGATTGTACTTCTTCAGGAGGGAGGCATAGTAGGGCTTGAGCTGCTCCACGTCAGGCACGGCGTCGGCCTTGGAGTAGAGGTCGAACTTGTTGAACTCCTTCACCCACTTCTTGGTCTCCGCATCCTCTGAGCACTCGAAGTGGCTGTAAGCCCCCTTGTCATGCCAGGGGTAGAAGGAGTGAAGGCGGATCATGTTCAAGCCATGCTCGGGAATGGTGCAGCCGTTGAACTTCAGCATCTGGTACATGTACTCATCATGGCCCCAAGAGAACATGAGGTTGCTGATGCCGCAGCCAGGGTGGTAGATGCCGTTCTTGGTGCCGAAAAGCGGGTGGCGGTAGTCCGGGTTCTCCTGGGTTGCTGTTAAGGA